GTTATATAAGTCTTATTTTATTATTTAAAAATACTTAATATTTTTAATAAATAATTATAAGTATTTTATTTTCTCTTATAAATTTATTTAAGTCTTTTTTTCTTACTTATATTTACTTAAAGCTTATAAGTAAGCAACCTACACGGGTACTCGTGGACCTTTTACACCCTATTATAGGCATCTTAAATCGTATTAAATCTCGTGTAGCTTTGTATCTGTTTAGTCCTTTAATGTTAACGCGCGAACCACCTAGCAATAAATACGGCACTGGCATTACATTTCGTTCGTGCGCGTTCCCCTTTACGTTTCCCACTCACGCTACTAATTACACTTATAATAAGTTAGCTTTTTATATACGTTAAAGTATATTAAATATAATAATATTACTTTTTATAATACTTAATAAATATTTTAAGTTAATAATTAATAATAATTTTTTTTAAGTATTTTAAATTCTTAACTTATTAATTAGCTTTTTAAAAAGAAAACATTAAAAAATAAGCTAAATAAAAAGTATTTAATAATACTATTAATATATAATAATATATAATAGTATATAATAATAGTATATATTAGTTTATAATAGTATATAATAATATATAGTAGTATATATTAGTTTATAATAGTATCTATTAATTTATAATAACTTTATAAGCTCTTATTATAATATTAATTTATTTTAAATAATTACTTATTAAATTACTTTTAGGGTTATACGCTTTTTAGTTTTCTCTATTACTTAAGAAAAGCTAAGTGGTATTTAATTTAAAGATAATATTTGTTTAAGAACCTTAAAAACGAAATTACAGCTAGTAAAATTATCTATAGTAAGGATAGCCTTACTATTACTCTAAACGTAATTTGTATACATAGTATCTCTATTTCTAGGGTTAGACACTTGTAAAAGACTATAGACATCCCCTACATAGTTGCAGGACTGTATCTGTTAGGTTAAAAAGGTCTGGTGATATTTAGAGGCCGTAAGCGTGCACATGTGATGTTTGCTTTTTCTAGGGCTCAATTTAGGGCACGAATTAAGGGTCTTGGCAGGGGTTTTTTTAAGGGCTCTTCTAAGGTATAAAAGGGCTAGGTTAATTTTCAGGGTTTCAGTGTATTTAACAGATATTCTCGCTAATTATTAGTATTATTAAATTCTTTTATCGAGGCCTCTAAAAGCCTCCCTAATAACCGCCTTTTCCACCGCGTAAATCGCTGTTATATTTCTGATACTATCTGCTTTATATTAATATTGAAGACGGCTATGGATGCGTTATCGATTTCGATCTCGTAATTTGGGGCGATTTGGGGCACGGGGCGGGACACATCGCCAAATCGTTCGACATTGCGGACAAGTTCGGCATACACGGCGCGTCCTTTGGCAACAAAATTTTGATATCAATCACGAGAAGGATCCATTCTAAAACGAAGCACCATTCAGAGCACTAGATAGCTAAGAAGTTCGTAAGAAACGACACTTTCTTCTTCTTTTTTTTTAACCAAAACAATGCGTCCTCTCCATTCTTCAAAATCTGGAAGGAGCGCTCCATTAGCCGGCCGATAAGTTTTCAATACACTCACCACCTTTTTCCCATTGCTTGCTTTTATTTAATGACACTGGGATGGCTAGCCTAGTATTTATCAAAATATGGTGCAAATTGCTGTAGTTGGCCAAAAAAAAAGCAAGGCGTTAACGCATTTTACCATGATTCTTGCTGTGGTGGTGCTCAGTGATGCCAGGCCACATGTCGGCGGTTCCTTCATGCTGTGGTGCAGTAAATAAGAAGGAGGCAGGCACGTCTACCAAGACAAAAAGTGCAACTGGTCTGGTTTGAGGTCCATCAGACATCAAAGTCTTGCGCTTTGGTTGTAACTGTGGCAATAGGTCACATTGGCATCGGACCGACATTATAGCAGGCCTTATAATTCTTCCAGTTTCTATTTAAGAATCAGACAGGAATATAAATTACTATGTTTAGCTCTTTCTCAGACCCGGCTGTAATATTATTAATGGAAATGGATTTTTGCCGGCATACTTAAAAACCGTCTAAAGCTGCTTGATTCCCCGGATACACAAATATTACTAGCTGGGCTTCCCATCGAAGATTAAGGCAGCAAATAATATCAATGCCTATCAGTTAAATAGTAAGGCGTTTATTCATTTCGGACATTGGTGTAAATAGTAGTAGTAGCAGTGTAGGAGATGCCAAGTGAAATTATAGAGGATGTACAACTGAGTCTTTCTCTGTCACGATAGTGGTGCTGTATGAGCGCATCGAGAGTAAAATGCTACTTGCAGCGACTTCCAACAATGTTTTTCCATCTGTATGTGGTTTGCATCCAAGGTCGGGGATCTCGCTCCAATGGCGCAACGGAGGCGTTTGACAACTTGACTCAATGTAACTCAACGTGGGATGCAATTGGCAACATTGAAGATGCCCGAGCATCCTGGTGCCGATTTTTCACGTGGAGGCGCTGTTGGCCCTACTTTAGTGGGCGTCCAACTAACAATGAATCAACTTGGATCTCGATTCAATCCCCAGCACACCAGACTCTTTCCAGAAAAACCAAAAACGACCAGCGTGCTCCCAATGGTTGCGCCGCCTCTTCGGCCAAAGTTCTTGGCAGCTATTGGACTTGTTCTCCTTCTCGCCACATGCCTCATCTACCCATGGCGCGCAAGCTTGAATACACACAGTGCTCTCTCGGACGCTCAAGATCCGGGCTTGGAATTCCCTAATGACCCGGTTCCTCGACGCGACTTTGCGCCTCTGTCGAAATATGCGGCGCAAAACATTCGTGAGCCATCTAGATTCGCCTTTGCGACATTCTACTGCAGCCGCAACTCGGACACTCGAGGTCCCTATTTCGAATCTACGCAATCCATCATCTGGAGGCTTCTCTGGTCCGACTACCGGTCAAAATATCCCGTCATTGTCTTTGTATGCCCCTTTATCCCTGAGACGCACCGCCAGATATTCCGAGGACAAGGAGCCATTGTCAAGGAGATTGAACTGCTAGATACCATCATACCGGATGAAGCGATTCTGACGAAGCGGTGGATAGACGTACTGTCCAAGCTCAATTTGTGGAAACAGGTTGAATGGAAGCGCATCGTGTTCCTTGATTCGGATGCCTTTCCCATTCGGAACATGGACGACATCTTCGACTTGGTGCCGGAGCAACAGTGCAACAAGGCCGCTTTGCATCCCGAGGACCAGGCCGTTGTCAGCAACGACAAGGGCGGGGAGGACATGTGCAACTACGTCTATGCGGGCGTGGCGCAATTCCAACTCGACAACATCAATGCCGGCATGCTGGTCCTGAAGCCAAATCTCGACATGCATGCCAAACTCATTAGGGCGGCCAGGAGCACGGCAGACTACGACGCAAGGGACATGGAGCAGGGTGTCTTGAAGTCAAAGAATGCATTTGCAGCCGACGGCCCGTTTCCAGTAAACCGTCTGCCGCCTATCTGGAATGCCCTTCCCGAATACTACTCCAAGTACCTTGGCGACAATGCCGAGTTGACCGAGGGTCCGATACGGGTCCTGCATGTCAAGATGTGGAATCGGCTCTGGGGGTCCTGGAACAACTTGACGCATCTGAATGACATGTGGGATCTGGATTGGATGAAGATGTGCAGGTTTTTTGATTCAGACGACTTTGTCAAGGCGAGAACGAGTGGTGTATATGAGACGCCGTGGGAGAGATACGCAAAGAGCCAGAACCAGGGAATAGCGCCCTAGCTTATACGTCTTGTGCAACTAATTGGCTCGACAAGCAATGGACTACTACTTGCCTTCTTTCGCGCCACAAGAAGCATTGTATGGAATGGGATGTATTTGCCAACCCGCCCTGTCTGAGATCCAGGTTAGCGCCCGTGTTTGTCTCTGACCTTGTTGTAGTCTCGCGGGGAGCACTACGAACTCGAGACGTGAGACCCAACGGTTTTATACTGAAATAGTCAAGGTGTCTGGAGTCTCATCTCTGGCTCCTAGTTGCCACGTACAAAAAACGAACAAGGTGCCCCGAGTCCCCGTTGGTCAAGAGAAGAATAATCATCATTAAATACCACAGGACCGATGGCGCTGGGACTACTCGACAGCTACGTACGACCCAAATCTTCCTTTGGCACATTGGACAGTTTGCCTTGTCATGTCCAGGCTCTGTACACCGGATTCGGACTCGCGTACTGCGCCCAAGGATTCGGCCAAAGTGTGACATGGTTGACTTTTGACTGGACATGTCCCAGAGAGCATGTAAGCATAAACAAATGGCGCAGCGTCTCAGCCCAGTGGCACATGTCAAAAACTTGGCAGTCTAGAGGAGTCCGCAGCGGTTTGGGCCCCGGCACCTAGCTGGGAACCTCCCGGTCACTTATTCCACTTTGGGTTTCTTACAAGTTCATAACTTGCTGATCTCTCAGCGGAGGGCGCTGGTGGAGGCGGCTAGGAGAACAATGGGTTGAAGAAACCAAAATCCATGGTCATATGTGGGCATGTCCTTGTACAAAACATGGGCCAAGCTGCCCATTTCCCCGGAAAACTTGTTACCCTAACTTTTGTCGAGTCAGACTTGGCCCAGTACAACACAGCTGTAGTTTTTGGCAACCCTCATTCGTGTCGAATCTACACTCACCATGAAGTTCCTCACCGTTGCGTCTCTGGCCATGGTCTCGCTGGCCGCTGGTCAGAGCCTCGCAGATCTGCCCAGCTGCTCGCTTTCCTGTCTCAACGACGCCGTGAAACAGAGCACGAGCTGCTCAGAAACTGATTTGGCTTGCGTTTGCGAGCAATTCAATGTCATTCAGGGCGCTGCTGCGGGCTGTATTCTCAGCGCTTGCGGCCAGGACGTCGCTCTAAGTACGTTTACATATCTTGCCATGCCATGGAATCATCCTTGACTGACACCTGCCATCCAGACAAGGTCCTTCCTGCAACTCAAAAGCTTTGTGCCAACGCTGGCAGCGGCAGCAACACCGCCAAGTCTGCGCCAACGCCGACTCAAAGACCAGGTCAAACTGCTACTGTCGCTCCTGTGCCTGCTCCAGAGACCACGGTAAATCCTGTTCCAGAGCCGACCTCTACCGGCGCGCCAACCTCGCCTCCTGTCGTCACCGCCGGAGCAACTGTCTTTGCGCCCATGGGAGGATTGGCCATGTTGGCAGTCGCGGCGTTTGCTCTGTGATTTGTGTCCATTCTTGGAGCTGTTTCAACACTCCGAGACAGCGTCTGCCTAGGCGCGAATTCAGCATGGTGGACCAAGACACATAGACCTTTTTTTCTTTCCTTAATTTATGGACTTGCGGGAGACATGTAGTCGCATGGACCATAATCAATTGCATGCCGCTAAGCGTCGTTTCTTAACTATCCTTTGGTGGTGAGCGAATGCGGCATGTCTCCCGTGGGATCTGGTCACACCCCAAAGGACTTTTTTTTTCACTTCTTGTAATTATAATTTAGTAACCAAAACTAAACTTGTAGTCTAGTCAGAACTGAGTCGGACATATTTCCCTTGCCTTTGTCCTACACTTGCAATTTGTTCTGGATACCTACACCTGGGGCGAGCCGCGATATGTCTTCACGGCGCAACACGGTCATGAGGGCGGTGGTGCACCTTTACTTACTCATGTGCATACAATACGAGCACCAAGGATCAAGCGTTTTTTTTTCTTTTGTCCTCCAGCACGCCTCCGCCGATTTCGTGTATCACCCGACTTACGTCGCGTCACATCAACTTCGGGCCCTGCGAGCATGTTCGACGTCGAATACAATCCTGCTGCTCCACTGCCGAGTGGACTAAACTGCCAAATCAAGTATATTTTCCATGGAATCGCGGTGCTAGTTGCAAGCCCAGCTGCAACTATGGATCTTGGCCAGGGGTGCATATGGAGGTGGCTCGATTGGTGCCATCTACAATGTAACTTACATGGTGGTGGCTGTTCCAAAGGCCAATGGAAGCAATTTGCCCACGGCTTATCTAATAACTACCCTGTCGTCCCAGACTTCCCCAGGCCAAGTTCCTAACCTTGGCATGTTCTGTACCGAGTGGAGGATCTTGGACACGGCCTGGTCAGGGATGCTCTTCCCCCAGGCTCCCACCTCGAACCCGGGCAACCCAGTGGCGGCGGCATGGTTGCTCAGAAGCCGAGGACAAGAGACATGTGAAGCCCGCTGGGCGGCCAAAGTGTAGGCCAAGACAGATCCATCAAGATGCTCTTGCGACTCCATTGAGTTTGAACCCAGCGAACCCAGGTTACTACTGGCATTTTTGACAGGGTTGGAATACTAGGTAAGGTTCGGGCCTGCAAATTCTAACGGGGCCCTTTCCCAGCACAAGTACGTACTCTGTAATGAGTGATTACAGTTGGGCTTTTCGGGTTGTAGATTCTTGGTGCAACCGAGGCAATCAATATTACCACAGCTCTAGTTTTCTGCCACCCTCGCGCGCGCGTTGAACGTAGACTATGTGTGAGTAATGTATGTACTTGGATAAAACTCATATGACAAGAAGCCCAGTAACTGATTTCCCCAACGCCTCTGAATATGAGTCCGCGAGCCCCCTGTCGCAATGATCCGATGCTGCTGTGCTGTTATACAATCCTAGCCAATCATGTCTATAACTCCGACCGTAAGAAATCATGACTCTTTACCCACTGCTTGTATCTGTGGCTGCTGTTGTTCTTGCAGCAATTTGAGCCGCTCCACGATAATCTTCTTCTTGTCCGCCTCTGACAACTTGTCAAACGCAGCCACATCCTTGTCCCACTGCTCCACGCACTCGGCGTCCCAGTTGCACTCTTCCACTTGTCCGTAGGCGGGATGTCTGTACCGTCGATGCTTGCTCGGCCAGTTGGATGCGTGATAATGATGCTTCACCAGCGCCCCGCGAGACCCGTGGTTTCCCGAGTCGGAGTGGCCTTGTCCGGCGCAAAAGGCCTCGACCGTCAAGACCAGGACCCGGCCTACGACCTTGGACTCGTCCATGTCGTGGAAGTCGTCCCATGTGACCTTGGGGCCCTTGGTCGCCTTGTTCATCTCCTCGAGCACCGCCGCGGTGAATGCAGAGGGGCCTGTGCCGGTGATGACCTGGTCAAAGTCCAGCTCGACCTTGTCAATGGACACGCGTTGCTTCCTTGCCACGCCCTTGAACCACTTCATAATCTTCTCGATGAGATGCAGCATGACTGGATGGCGAGGTCGCGCAACAATGGTCCACTGACAGAAGGATTGCGACTTTTGTCCCAAGATGCGGTGGTTGCGAAACTGCGGCATGTCCACCTCGATGCCGACAATCAGGTCGTAGTCTTGCTCGTTGTGGCGCTCAGGAATGAACCGATGGAATGGCTTGAGGGCCTCGACATCAATGTCGGCGTAGATGCCCCCTTCGGCATACAGAATCATGTACCGTAACAAGTCGGCCTTGATGATGCGGAGGTTGACTTGTCGATAGAACTCGACAATGTCCGGCCTGTTGAAGCCGTCGGGTCCAAAATGCTCTTCAACATAGGTCAGGTCGCTGGCGTCGGTAATGACCTCGTAGCGCATATGGGGGTTCTGTTTTATCCACGTCATTGCCCTCGCGGTTTCCGTGATGCCAAACAGCAAGGGGTCGATTTTCCACGTCTGCCATATCTTTTGTGGGAATGTGCTTCCCGGCAACTTGACGGGCGGCGGCGCAGGCGAGGCCATGAGGCTGGATGCGCTCGGGAGTAAGAAGAGGACGTCGAAATTGAGTAATAGGATGAGAAAGAAGAGGCAGCCAAGGTATATAGGAAGGCATTTTCGGATCTTCTTTGGCAGTGTTATGCTTCTTAATTTGGGCGATAGCTGGACCCGAAGAGAGGGCATGAGCGGTTTCTCCATCTACGGACGACGTAGCCTGTGAACCTGGCGACTCTTTGTTGTTGAACCTAGGAAACGGTTGAAAGCAACTCTGGACTGGCTGGCTACGTGGATTTGGAGTATCGTGAGCGTTTACGTCGCGGTAAACTAGGTCAAGTTGCCTACCATCGCTTGGCTTCAGAAGAAGGCTTTTTGCGACATTGACATCGTTTGTGGGGCAAACCAGTAGTGAACTCAAAGGTACAATGCAGTCAATGGCTTGGGACACGGCACAAGGAGCCATAATCCAGTTGACTCCAGTGGCTCAAGAGCTTCCATGTGGACTGTCTCGGGTCATGCCGCACCCACAAGAGAGTCTGTACCAAAGTTGGGCTCGACTCTTCAACTCTTGTGTGGCTTCTTTGTCTGCCATCCATGTCCTTCTGATCGACGGCGCCATCGCCGTGACGGGGTTGTGCTCCGGACTCTAAACGGCCCATTCCCCGGACAAGGGCGCCGCTTTTCCTCCGACCCATCCATCATCCCCGGGCTCCCTGTTCCAGGCACATGGCAAAAGAAGGGCGCTTTGCAATATTCTACAGTGTGTGTCCATCGCAGACACCTCGGCCCCTCAGCCGCAAACTCAAACTGGCTTGCTTCACCGTCCTTTTGGCGGGCTTTGTTCGCACGCAATGTCAGCCATCCCCGGATTTACGGGAACCGACATCTCTCCAGACTGGGGCCTTGGTCAACTGTTCGGCGTGATCGTCCGAGGACCCTTGTCGAGTGGCTGGACTATTCTGGCCTGAACTTGTTCCATTCAACCAGAACAGGGGTGCAGACACACTACGCTGACACACAATGGTCTTTTCCAGTTCTTGGTGCAGTTATCCCATGCCGCCCACCACTTCTCCGTGAGTTGTCTGGTACTACAAAACGCAAGTCGGTGGTGGCGGTATTAGAGTCATTGGTCTCTCGCACAAACAACACACACCCTTGGGGATTTGCGCCTTCGTCCGATTTTCTTCAAAGAAGAGACCCTCTCATTTATACAACCGCGTTACCTACCATGTAAGGCGGTAAAATGCCCGTTCCAGCTTCACATGAAATTCTCGACAGAGACAAACTTGAAGTCGTCATGCTCAACGCTGATCCTGAAGCGGCCAACGACGGATTATTGCAGACGCACTGGAAATCCGCCAAACCCTTTAGCGACACATGGACCAGACTTTTCCATATCAAGTCATGGCTGTGGCCGCAGGCAATCTATCGCCCAAAAATCCTGCCCAAAACCGCCTATCTTGACGGTTTGCGAGGTTTCGCAGCTCTCCTGGTGTACTGGCACCACCACGAACTTTGGGTTCACAACACGGATAGGTTGGCGCAAAACGCAATTTTTGAAAACGGCTTCGGCTACGGATCCAAGTACCATTTCGCCGCCTTGCCGGGCGTTCGGCTATTCTTCTCTGGCGGCCATTTCGCAGTCTCTACTTTTTTCGTCCTATCAGGCTATGTCCTTTCAATAAAGCCTCTAAGGCTAATCGAGAGCGATGACCTTGCCGGCTTGGTAGACCATCTTGCGTCTGCGTTATTCAGGCGCTGGTTGCGCTTGTTCCTCCCCGTCGCGGCGACGATGCTCGTGTACGCAACCTCGTGGCATCTCCTGGGCTTGTGGATTGACGGAGCAAAACCACAAGACAGCTGGTTTAGCGAAATGTGGTTCCTCTACTGCGAGTTTAAAAACTTTAGCTTTATTTTTAAGGAAGGCGGCGTCCCGTGGCTCTCATACAGCATGCACGTCTGGTCGATACCAATCGAGTTCAAGGGCTCAATGGTCGTATTTGCCTCCCTCCTGGCCCTTTCGAGATGCACGTTGGAGGCACGTCTCTGGTGCCAGGTCGGGCTTGTCGGTTACTTCATGTACATTGCCGACGGCTGGTACTGCGCAATGTTCGTCGCGGGAATGCTCTTGAGCCACCTGGACCTGTTGGCAGCATTGGACAAGCTCCCGCGATTTCTTGTGCTACTTGCGCCTTACAAGACCATCATCTATTACCACCTGTTGGTAATAAGCATCTACCTGGGCGGCGTTCCGTGCGAAAACCGCGAATTGGACCAACTTGCCCGGAATCACGGTTGGTATTTTCTCTCCTTTTTCAAGCCACAGGCCGTCTTCGACTACAAGTGGTTTTACCTATTTTGGGCCGCGACTCTACTTGTGAGTTCGGTTTCGAATATTGGCTGGTTGAAGAGGTTCTTTGAGACCCGCGTCTGCCAGTATTTAGGACGGATATCGTTTGCGCTATATCTCGTTCATGGACCATTATTGTGGACATTGGGCGACCGGCTCTATGCAGCAGTCGGCCTCAAGGCCCAGGGTCAAATGGAACACATGCCGCAGTGGGTAGACAGGTTTGTTCTGCCACAAACGGGGCCTGTTGGGCTCGAGTTTGCCTTTATCCTGCCACACATGATACTCTTACCCATTACCCTCTGCGCAGCAGATTTCGTCACAAGGGCGGTAGACAGGCCAAGCGTCCAGTTTGCTGCCTGGTTATACAGGAAAACGCTACCTAGTGTGCCGAGAAAACACTCAAAAGCTTAGCGTTTACTACTAATAATACCGCTGCAATGTTTTAATCTCCATCCATGTGTAACTAGACCACCACTCTCACTGCGGTGTCCATCGTTGTCCTCGCCAACTGTACTCGGCTCTGACGCCGACTATTCAGCTCTTCAGGCCCCAAACTGTAGTCCGGTTAACAGGTACCCAAAGTTTGCTCGAACCTGTCCAACGGAAACTAGGCCAAGTCCGATCAACAGTCCGACGCAACGTGGGGGAGGCTTTGTGGCGGCGGGGATATCACTCCAACACTGGAGAACTATTTCTTTGGTTGCTTCTATCCCTGTTCTTTGACAATTTGCACGCACCGGCAATTCGGGGTGCCGATCACCAAGTCGGACATGGCTGGTGACTGACGCTTGGGGCCCCGCGGATCCAGACCCAATTTTTATCGTCCGACTTTGATTGCCAATTCAAGCCTGGGTTACGCCCTTGTCATCTGGGAACTGGTCTCCGAGGGATCTGGTGGTGCTGACATGTGCAAGTGGAGAGAAGGGTCACGACACGGCAAGATATCTGGCAAAGCGGCCTGGCAGTGCTGACATCCAAGACACAAGAGACCAGGATAAATTCCTCAACCCCGGAATATTATGATAGGCCTTGCCCACAGCGGCACAATGCTCTACTGGGCCCGTTGACGGGATGCCCCAGAGTCCAGATATCAGAAACTTCGCAGTAACAGATATTGACATGGCAGTGGCTATGTCATGACCCTGGCAGCTTTCGAATGCTCGGCAATGGGCGTTGATGAGTTAAGGGCAGTAATGCTTCGTCTTCCCGCTTATATACATCGCGTTAGGACTTGGGAAGAGTATTGTGAGACGATCGCACCAGACCGAATCAATACCCGTTTTGAGGTATGCGACACTGTTTTTATCCAGCGTAGATCCGATATCCAGAAATCCACTCCCACAACCAACGTGTCCGGCCAAATACTTTCTTGCTTTCATATATCTATGTAGTGTGCTTAACTCTAGAAATATAACACATTCAGTCCTTTTGGGTTCGCAATTACAATAATAGTGGACTAAATTTATGGGCTTTCTCCTCGAGACGGCTGTATATGGCTAGTTTGTGGACTCCGGCGACACGGATTCCTTATCTGCCCGTTTACGGCGAATACTATGCATCATGACCAAGCCTTCCACTTCTTTTTTGTGGCACATGTAACTTTAGGGCATCAGACAGCTCCAATACACAACCATCCTCACTTGCCTCGGCGTAGACCTTACCCGAATACAAATGTTCAAGAAGGAGAGATGGAAGTATTTTGAGTTAAAAGGACCAATAGAAGAAAGCAAAGGGAGAAGAATCAGCGCCGTCAGCTAATTCACCGCAGAGGGTGTGATGTTGATAACTAGTGTAGGGTGATGTGCATGGCCTTGACTGCTTGAAACGTAGCTTTCTCGCCCGACTCTACACATGAAATCTTCTAGATGGTCGTTTCATATCTCAGGAAGTATTTGAGCTGCAATTTCGATACCATCAGCACGTTGACGAAAAGAGTCGTCGCCGCGCGCTGAACGCTCTTAGCCTTGCGTAGGTAGGGTTAGGGTCGCAAGACCGCGAATCGGCAAAATTCTCCGACACCGGAGCCGTCCAGAACCTAAATTACATTCAAGGCCAAACCGGTATCAACGTTCCAGTCTGCCTGCCATAATCCATCGAGCATCACATTCCGATTCAATTTTACAACAATGAGCATAAAAACAGAGGCAGCCACGTATACCCACGGCCATCATGCGTCGGTGTTGCGATCGCACACCTGGCGCACAGCTCTCAACTCGGCAGGTTTCCTGTTGCCTCACATCAAGCCTCACATGACCATACTGGACATCGGCTGTGGCCCGGGAACAATCACCGTTGATCTGGCCGGCCATGTGCCCGAGGGTCGGGTGATTGGCTTGGAGCGTGCTGCCAAAGTGTTGGAACAAGCGCGAGCCCTCGCCGCGGACAAGGGTGTTGAGAACATCGAGTTCACAGAGGGCGATGCCAACTCGCTAAGCTACCCGGACGACACGTTCGACATTGTATTCTGCCATCAGGTTCTTCAGCATGTCAAGGATCCGGTGGGAATTCTACGGGAGATGCGACGAGTGGCCAAGCCCGGCGGCATCGTGGCAGCCCGCGAATCAGACTATGGAGCATTCACCTGGTACCCTGAGGTGGCAGGAATGAAGGAGTGGCAATCGCTGTATAGGAAGCTGGCCGCTCATAACGGAGGCGAGCCGGATGCGGGCAGAATGGTACATGTCTGGGCGAAGCAGGCAGGGTTTGCGGCGGACTCAATCACATCCACCGTGAGTTCGTGGTGCTACAGCACCGGCGAAGAAGTGGCATGGTGGAGTGGACTATGGGCAGAGCGAACAGTGGCTTCATCGTTCGCGGACACCGCGATTGAGTCCGGTATAGCTACCAGGGACCAGCTGGCAGAGGTTGCCGAGACTTGGCGGCGTTGGGGAAACGAAGACGATGCATGGTTCTCAGTACCGAGTGGTGAAGTTTTGTGCATAAAGTAGCGCAAGACGCTGGCGTCGTGTACCTAGTATCGGTCCATACGATGGAGGGAAGTAGTTTAACCTAGGACGTCTGACTCAATCTTTCAAATACGGGCTGCATACCAGAATGTAAATCTACCAACGAGTGAGGAACATTGGACTCTTACACGTGCGTTAGTGAGGTTCTAGGCTTCTATGCTGTGACTTTGCCGTAGACGAGGCACGTGTAAGGTGAAAAAGTGTGAAACTATTCAACACGATAGAAAGCTACACACAACACACACATGTACATATACATATGTGTGTGTGTGTGTGTGTGTGTGTGTGTGTGTGTGTGTGTGTGTGTGTGTGTGTGTGTGTGTGTGTGTGTGTGTGTGTGTGTGTGTGTTTACGCAGCGCAAGCACCCTGAATATAGAACAGACAATACATGTAAAAGTAGTCATGCATTTAGGATCTGGTGACTGGTAGAGTTGACAGTTGTATTCATGAAACTCACTTGTAAAAACATCAACAGTAACCTGGCAGTTCATTATCACTCGACTCCAGCATCAATCCCGGTAGCCCAGCATACGTGTTCCGTCTTCCCTGGTCTTGGCCTCGGACAGAAGCAAGGCCAGAACCTACTCGGCTTACCTGCTCTCGTATACTATTATCCGACTCGACTCCGATCTGCAACGGCACAACAAGAGACAAGGTGGAAAAAGTCTGACCAACGGAGAGACAAAGATCTAGAGTATAGGTGCGCGATATACGACACGAGTGAAAAGTCGGCAAAAACATTTTTTTATTGTTGTTGGGTATCGTGAACTGAATGTCTAGCTCGGAAACGTATCGTCTTGGTCTAGAGGCCGTCAATGACATGTCGGGACACGTCACAGCACTAGCACGTCTTGAAGGATTGCCCGGCGCAGTTGGAAATTCATCCTCTTGTGTCAATACGGAGGGCTCCCGGGAGAGTGGGAACATGACTTCTTCCCAAGCCGATTCGCCGTGCTCCTCTCTCCAGGACAAGTCACACACCGGGAGGCTGAAGAGCTTGTTGGAGGTTGTGTACTGATACGGCGACGTGGCTTCGAATGATGTCCGGTTGCCAAGATTGGGAAGGCGTTTCATAAAGGACATATCAAAATAGGTGTGCGATGTGAGCTTCCCGGACACGGAGTTGATCTTTGGCGACGGTGTATCCATGCTCATGGAGTCAAAGACGAGAGTCAGACGGCATGATGTTGCAGTGGCTACGTGGCCATCTGGCGACAGCATGACGGCCTTTGGCTGAGCGGCAGTGGCGGTGAGTCTTCCGAGCTTGCTGGCAACAAAGTTTTTGCGTATTGTTTTGCTCCTGGAGAGGGTGTAGCCCTCGTCCACGGGGGTGATGTCCAACGGGGCATCTTCCGGAAACGCAGGCAAGACCTTGATCATGCACGATTCTGCAATCACCCTGGCTGGGAGAAAGCCGGCCGGAAAGGTTCTGGTAGCCAGCACGGTGATGGCGTACTTTATCTGCGTCATCTGGGGAGACTGGTCGTCACTCTCCCAGAATCCCATTGTTGGAGGCGGCCGCAAATGCTGTTCCCTGACGGCCGGCGAGACGCATTTATGTCTGCAAGAGCCGATGGTGAGGTGAAACGGCAAGACAAAATGGAACTGGAAACTGTATTCTTGGCCCGCCGCGAATATCTTATTGGCAGGCAGACTGTTGGAGCACACTGGCATGACAAGTTTCATAAAGGGAAGAGCAATGATTCCCGGCTCGTGTTGCAGGAAGCTTTGTGTTGTGCTGACTCCCACAAGACTGATCTCGAAATGGTCGTATGCGATGTCCCGGGCCGGGCGAAGAACAACCTGGCCCTTGACTGGCGAGCCAGACGTGTAAATCTTGGCGTTGAAGTGCTGTTCCAGATGGAAACGAAGTCGATAGGCATTTCGGCTTGGTGTTGTAGGCCAGACCGCGGCCGGCATCGGCAGCGGATGGCGATACATGCTAGCTGAACCGTACAAGAACATTGGCCAAGATGGGATCGGCTCATCCTTTGCTTAAACACATGGCCGAGTCTTTTCTCATGGTGTTTAGCGCGTCGCGCTTCCGCAAAGAGTCAAAGACGACACGGTTCCCCCAATACTCGAGGCGATGCAGCCGCGTCCGAATTGAGTTGAACACGTTTGAGGGTTGAATTGTCGTTTCCAGCGCCTGACGGCGGCCACAGACATTTTAATCCATGTAAGCCAAACGGCGGCGTCGTCACGAGACGCATTGGTTATAACGGTGGGATGTGGTGGTGACTCTGGTGAGGGCCAATCAAGTACACCAACACCACACCGAGTACTAATTACAAGCTCTTGTGTGTCTCTGGCAGTTGTTTTGGCTGCAATTTCAGCCATTGGCCTGGCCATGCATGCATGGCGGGCTGGGCGTGGATATTCTAATTGGCGCGTCATATATTCCAGACTTGGAGTACTGCTGTGCCACGATGAGTTGGTTATCTCATTTCCTTTTTCCCCTGAGAGATTGTGTAGAGCTTCAATGAAAAATGTTGAGGTTTCGGTGCAAGTCAGGGGAGTTGTAACTTAGATTAAGTGGCTCGTCCACTGAGACTCGGTCGCGGACGGGTACAAAGTTATTTTCTTGCCAAAGCATGGCATCAAATACCGTCGATGATACCGCTCCCCATTCCTGTGCCGTCTCAGCAATGTCCCACTGAAATCACGGTTCATTGTCCTGAGAACTCGCCATGTCACAACGGAGTGTTGCGCCTCATGCCAGGTCAGTTAGTTGCACTGCGCGCAAATTCAGACACCACAAGGGAGTTGCTCCAGCTGATAACACCACGAGGATGCCGTACCTATGTATCTGGGCTTCAGTGCGGCTCAGCGGCATCGTCCGACCGGGCTTCATGCTGTTAATGTCACGGGTTGAGGATCCTCAACAGCATCTCGACAGCGTTTACTCTTTTACAATCAACGAGCCAAGTCGATCATTTTCAGCACTCCACCGACAGAACAAAGTGGAAATTAGCGTGTGCTTGGCGAAAGTATACAGTAAGAGGCAAAAGGGATTTAACCAGGCGAGGTACCTGGCTATCACAGACTGTATGCACTCGCTTGCTTAATCAGTGCAGATAAACACTCGGGAATGGGCAGTGTTACAGGCAAAGGCCGATGGCCACCGCAAACTATCAAGTCGACTTCTTTCACACAATAGCATATACTACGCCTTGGATAAATGTCATCAAAGTGAACCACAGGGAAGGGCGATCTAGAATACATACAGAGCAGGTTTTCTCGGTTTACTGTTACAAATCTCGTAAGCAGGTTTCTTCACCGTCTTAAATACTCTCAATGTCCAGGCCGGCGGTAGCGTTGCGGTATTCGGCGCCGGATCCATGGGAATGAGCGCCATCATGGCTGCCAAGATGCGAAAGGCCAAAGTCAGTATTGCCATTGATCTCCAGCAGTCCCGACTCGACCTGGCATCGCAACTGGGTGCCACGCATACCCTCCTCGGAAACGACCCCGAAATCATCTCCAAGATTGGAGAATTCGCCCCTCCCAACGGGGTCAACTATGCCGTGGACTGCACTGGGGTTCCTGCTGTTATCGAGACCATGATTCAGGCTCTCGGGAGCCGTGGCCACGCGGCGTCTGTGGGAGCACCGACTGTAAGTATTTTGCAACCGTCACGGCGGCCCCGGGCTCAAAGATGATGAAAAAATAAGTGGCATGGTAAACATGTCCCGCAAACCACCATTGACCAGCTCATCAGTTGTACACACGGCTACCTAGAGAAGGGTCATGTTGTGTGGAAAGAGGCAGAAGTGCCGAGGAGAACAAGCCTAACCTGTACACATTTCTCGCCACTCGTCCCTGCGTTGACAGCAACTTGGCAGGCTAGGGGCATTGAGACTCTCAACATGTCTTGTTTCAACGATGGCCGGATCCTTCTTAGCCAACATGTCTGTGGTGAAGCCCGGGTTGCTGCCTCATGTCAGACACGCCTGAAATCAGAGGAACTACTCAGCACACAGAAGCCCACAAAGACAGAAAGGCTTAGCCAGTGTTTCCACGTACTCGACGTAATGAGATATCTGTGTTGCCGGCCACATGACGTCAGGGATCATGACTGCGTTCCCCAGGCCCAGATGCTTCGCAATGCGCAACCAAACGACTCAAGAAACCGTCTCGGCCCACTTCTCCGCGCCCCGGAATCAAAAAGTTGGGGTGGTTGCGGGTGAAGGGGAGGTGGTGTGGGGGTTGGTGCCAGAGACCCAAGAAAACGTTGGTGATTCTGTTCGGCCCATGGAGTTACCCCAACCCATACTTGGGCGCCATGGCTTTCGCCCACCCCGTTTCCCCGTCAAGTCCACATCGGAACGCTCTGGTCTCGTCGGAAGCAGCTTCGGCAGCCTTCGGATGCAGAGTCCGGATTCGAAAAACGCACTCTACCCACCGCTTGGCAGCATTGACTCGCAAGAGTTCAGATGCAACACGGTGTAGTACTTGGAACGGTACTCCGTAGAGACTCTCTGTTGTAAAGGCGCTGGCCTATCATGAGACGGAGGCGGCCTGTGGCATGTGGCCATGTCGTCGGACCTGGGGTTGAAACCAGCCAATGGGGGGGAAGAAGGAGAAACATGTCTTGGGCAACGCCGGGATTATGTCCTTTGTGAAGAGTTTGACAACTAACTTAGTTACAACTACCACAAAAGGACGGTTGAGAGTTGAGCATCCAAGACGGAAAACTGACAACGTTTGGGCGTCCCTATGTATCGACTCGGTGGAAACCCAACCAAGATGCGTGCGCTGGTTGAAGATGACGCCGCATTACTGATCAACAAGCCCATTGTGGGCCGCCGACCCCGGACCTAAATAGTAAAGATGGCTCTCAATGTCCCAGGGTTCCGGGTTGGTTGTCGTGGGAGGACGACAACTCAAACCCGTCCACCACCAACTACCCCACGTTTTGCATACGTGATGACTGGTGACGGCTCGATGACAACGCGGCATTAAGCAAAACGACATTGGAAGGCTCGCGACAGTCTGTTCTCTGATCCACGGCTGGCGCTTGATCGCTCCTCCCATCTACACAAGCATGAGAGTTGACTGCAAGCGCCCATTGTCCAGCGGGTTACGTACAAGATAGATTTGCCGTTGCCGAGGGTCAACTTGCGCACTGTCTGTACCTCGCGAGCATCCCGTTTTCTTTTTTCCTTCCAATTGATTTTTTTCTTCACTTATCTTTCCCCTTCCCGTACATCAGAGCGTGCGGTTTACATATACCCGGGCTCCAGCATACAGACATGCGACCCCAACAGCGTCATGACCAGACGGCGGCGCGAAAGAGATGCAGCAGAGCATGTGACATGTAAATCTGATTTCCTCCCTCCCTTTATCGCCGCGTCAATCTTGCAGCCAAGCTTACAATCTTCTTGTTTCTTTCCCCCCGCTCAGGTGCAAGAGGCGCAAAGAGCGATGCGACGGACGGCAACCCTGCGGCCGATGCACCGAGCGGCGAGTTCACAACGAGTGTCGATATGAGACGGAGCATGGAGGGAGAGCGGCCAAAGTGCATCCCGCTCGACACAGAGGCGGCTCGCTTTTAAGATCCACAGCCCCGGCTTTCCTTCCAATTGATTTTTTTCTTCACTTATCTTTCCCCTTCCCGTACATCAGAGCGTGCGGTTTACATATACCCGGGCTCCAGCATACAGACATGCGACCCCAACAGCGTCATGACCAGACGGCGGCGCGAAAGAGATGCAGCAGAGCATGTGACATGTAAATCTGATTTCCTCCCTCCCTTTATCGCCGCGTCAATCTTGCAGCCAAGCTTACAATCTTCTTGTTTCTTTCCCCCCGCTCAGGTGCAAGAGGCGCAAAGAGCGATGCGACGGACGGCAACCCTGCGGCCGATGCACCGAGCGGCGAGTTCACAACGAGTGTCGATATGAGACGGAGCATGGAGGGAGAGCGGCCAAAGTGCATCCCGCTCGACACAGAGGCGGCTCGATTTCAAGCTCCAGAGCCCGGTCTTCGGTCGAGCCGCCATCGGTTGCCATTGACATGGCCAACCCGTCCCCTGCGGCCACGCCTCTGGACCAGTCGCGCCTCATCCTCGACAAGAAGGGGCGCTTCATGTACCTGGGCGACGCGGCCAACCCGTCCTTTTTGCAGTCCATCCGGCGGCTGGTTCGAGAGACGCAGGGGCCGGGCCCCTTTGTCGACGACCCGTTGCGGCCGGCCATGGTCGAGGCATCACCCGAGGGCGCGCCCGCCTGGCTCGACGCCGGAGCCGAGCAGAAATCGCCGCCCGCCTTGACCGAGGACGAGGCCAGGCACTTTGCCAGGCAGTTCTGCCTGTGTACAAACGGCATCCTCGACCTGTACGACAAGTCTGTGCTCCTGGACCAGGTCCCGCAGGCGGTTGCGCACGACGCCGTCGCTCTCCCGCTGGCCAAGCCCGTCGTCCATCTCGTCCTGGCCATCGGCGCGCAGTCGTCGCCAAAGGACTTGGGCGAGGTGGCCGAGTCGTGCTTCAACTACGGCCGCTACCTGTCTGCCAAGTATCTCATGGACGACCCCAGCACGCTGGCCGTCGAGGCCTACATCCTCATCGCCATGTACCTCCTGGCGTCGTCGCGGCGAAACGCCGCCTTTATGCACCTCGGGTTCGCCGTGCGCGCCGCATACGCCCTCGGCCTGCACCTCAAGGCCGTGTCGATGCGCTTCACCGCCGAGGAGTTCAAGCACAGAGAGCGCATCTGGAAGTCCCTCCGGAGCATGGATATCCTCTCGAGCGCCCTGCTCGGCCGCCCGCCCTCGACCAAGGAAACCCGCAACACCACGTCGCCCGAGGACTACTCGGCATGCAGCGACCTGCTCTCCATCATGGAAGACGTCCTGACAAACGTGTACGAGCAGCGGCAGATCTCCGCCATGACGCTGAACCGAGTGGCGTCTCGCCAGCGCGAGTGGGCGGCCGTCTTCACCCGGGGTCTGGCGGCCGACAACATCGAGCCGGGAGACCGGATCGAGCGAGGCAACGTCCCCAACATGGGCCTGACCCATGTCAAGATTGTCTTTCACTGGACCGTCATGCTCCTCACCCGGCCGTTCCTGTCGGAGCGCGTCACGTCGCACGCCCGGCAAGCCGCGTCGGGCATCCCGGGCACGTCGCCGTCGTGGACGCCGGCAGAGTCGTCGCGCGTGCTCGCCCACGCCTGTGTGAATTCCGCGATACGCACGCTGGCGCTCCTCGAACCGCTCATCGAGGCCTGGGACACGCCGACGCGGCTGCCCTTCGGCGTGAGCTGCGTCGTGCATTCGGCCCTGGTCATCGGCCTCGCCCACTTTGGCGACATGCACCAGATCTTCCCGCTCGACAAGTTCATGTACACGGCTCGCAGGCTGCTGCAGCGCTTCTCCAGCGACGCCATTGCCTTTCGAAACTGCACCATCATCCAGCTCCTCCACGAGGCCTGCCAGGCCTACTCGGAAAAGAGGCACGCCGCGTCCATGGACGTCGAGGGCCAGCTGATCAGCAGCCTGTTCGGCCAGCTTCACTACACGCCTCCGGGAAACGAGCACACGCTCAACGCTCCTCCGCAGCCGTACCAGCCGACGGACAGCGCGGGCTCGGCCGCCGACAGCATCAGCCTGATCGACAAGGCCTTTGGGTCCGACGACGCGGCAGACGCGACGTGGGACAGCGTGTCGCCGGCGGGAGGCGATGCCGGCACCAAGACGACGTCCAACACGCTCCGGTCCGTACAGCCCTTGTCTCCGAGTTCCACGCCTGCCACGATGCCAAAGCACGATGACGACACGTCTGCCGCGGTGGTTCTCGAGTCGCCGAGCGTTTTCGACAGTAGCCATATCCTGGGAGACTCGGATATTGTCAACTTGGAGTCTCAGGACGACTTGGTCTCCTTGTACGCGCTGATTGACACGTCTGGGGGCTACCTGGGTCTGGAGTAGGCATGCCTGAGAAGAATCGGGGGTGTTGGGCTGGATTGTTTCAACTAGCGTCATGATCAGGTTTGCGATGCATGTCTTGGCAGCATGCATGAATCAAAATGTCTGCAACTAGCAAGCGGTTGTCGTTTTGGACCGTATGTATTCCGGCTACTTTGCAATACGTGTAGTACTTTTTTTTTTTTTTTCCTCTTCCAAACGTGACAAAACGCCCCAGGAGCAGAAAAGACGATTGGATCGGAGGGCACGAAGATGTGAAAAAGTAGACGGAATTTCATCTATCAAGGTATCATCGTGTTCTACGCTTCATGTCGTTGTTACTCACATCACCCCGTCAGCTCCTCCTTCTTGACCCCTAGCTTTGCCATGTCATCTATGAACAGTCACCCCTGGGCCATTCTCACAAGTCCAACAGTCCATCACATTCAGAACAGCGGCACGTGCGCCGGGTTGACAAAGTCGACGTTGCCTGGTGCGGACTCGACTCGATCAAGACAGGTGCCAAAGACACGGTCCCAAAGCCGAGTCTGCTTTCCATAGTTGTGGCTCTTGCGCCAGCCCTTGCGGTGATGCATGTCATGATCCTCCACGACAATCTCGGCGTTGAAGTACTGAAGAATGGGATGAAACGTCGATAACCCGGCGGCATGCAGTCGCAGCCCGCTGTGGCCGGCAACTTCAATAAAGGCAATGTACTGGTGGCAGAGCCACCACTCGTAGAAGCCTAGAGGGAGACCCATGGCCCGGAGGCTCATGTAGGTTAGGAACGGAATGCCCACGAGATCAAAAAACTCCTGCTCCTCGTCTGCAAAGGCCGTCATGAGCGGGTTAGGATGCTTGGTCAGGTGGTGCGTGCGGTGAAACTTCCATAGGAAAGAGACGTCGTGCATCAAGCGGTGGTACCAGTAGAACCAAAAGTCGAGGACGACGCCGTAGACGCCGATTTCCAGAGCCAGCCACGCCCACCACTGCCAGTCGGAAAGGGCGTCGACGGGCCGCACGGATTTGTTATACGACAGGTAGATGGCCAGGGCGACCCTGCCGCCGGTGCCCTTGAGTGCCGACAGCAGCACCTTTGTCACGCTGGCGTCGGGGATGCCGTCGCGGTCATGGACGTCTCCGTCGAGAAACCCCCATCTGTGGCCCAGTTTCCGGAGCGTGTGCACCTCGCGAATCAGGATGATGTTGAAGGCGTTGAAGTAGAGCAGGAACATGAGCAGAGGGTGTAGGCTTTGCATCCCCGTAAAGGTCAAGATGGCCTGGTGGACGAGCAGAGGCGTGACGGCGTGCACCAACACCCAGACGTGCTGGGACCATTGCGACAGGTACGGAATCTTGTCTGTCTTGGCATGTTTCGGCACCGGCTTGTCCAGGGCCACGGGATAGCCGTCGAGGGCTTCGAAGATCCAGTGGCTCCAGGTCCATGTGTCTCTGTTGGCGGTGCGCCAAGTCGACTTCATCGAGTCCTTGGGATTCGGGGCCTTGGACATGACTGCTCGGAGGAGACCGGAGACGAAGCTGGATGTCTGATGAATGGCAGGTTGATCTGACGAGAAGCAAGGCTTAAACGAGCCCGGTAGCGGGTGAGAAACCATCGAGTAGTCATGAACAATTTATATATAAGTCGGCTCTTGTCGGTGCATGTGCCAGTGGCCGGCTACGGGACAACCACACCACCTGTTCCCCGTGTGTCTATTGCGGGGGGTTCCCGTTCCATCTTGGCGTTTCGGCGGCGCCTTTGATGCCGTTTTTGGAGCTTGTGTCCGAGGATACCGGCCGAACGGCGGCGTGCGTCCGAAGGACTTGATTACCGGATATTTTATACATGACCCGGTACGAACTCGGGGGATTTGATTTATGTATGCGACGTGTTTTTTTGTTTGTTTTTCTTTTGTTTTTTTACGCTTCCAAGACCTTTACGGCGTTCCAACCATCACCACACAAATCGCGGCGCGACTTCTGAACGGGAACCAAAGTTATCCCGATTGGCCGTGCTGCGACGGGACCAGTCTCAACGCTTTCAATGCTCAAGTAATATATGCGATTGGTCAGTTTATGCCCACACAGGAAATACCAGAACGTGTCTTCTCACATGGAAATAGCATGTGGTTGGCTACGTGGCCACGACAGACGGTCGTGCCGTTTTGACAGCTCCCCGACAACCCGTCGTACGAGGACCGGAACCACCGTCCAAACGAACCATGATTCGCGGGGACCGGTTTGCTCGATGTTGTGCATATGCTATGCTAAGCCTCCTCCGGCCCCGACAGCTATATTCTGCATGTGCATATTGTACCACCTTGGGAGGAATCCCCGGATCCTCCGAGTCTATCGTCTCTCTAGGCCTTCCAGTCTGTGGGCGACAAAAGCTTCCGAGCATCACCAACGGATGCATCTGGCCATCGACCTGCCAATCATACCCGAAACGCTTAGCACCGAGGTACACGGTTCTGAACAAGTGCGACTCATAAGTGTTGGCCTCCCCGGATCAAATGACCAATACGCCAGTGCGCTCCACATCGGTTGTGGATAGAATATTACCATCGGGCGCATGAGCATCAAGTGTATTCCGCTTCGTAACTAGTACTTAGACTAAGACCCTAGGAAGGCGATAACTGTGCAAAATGCGACCGTCGAGTTTCGAAAGATGCCCGACTTTATTCGGCATCGTACAAGCCAACTCTCGTCCACCATTTTCTCTTCTGGTGGCCCGGTGGACATGTCTTTAGCCAGTAAGCTGTCCGTTAATGAGTGTATTTACTTTTTCCACACCAACACTGTCTGCTTTCATAGCTTCTATTACCATTACAGCCTTTCTTAATAGTCTTGTCTGGATTTATACCATCATTCTTGCTCCACTTGGACTAGCAATTCTTCGACGCCAGGTGACCTTTTCCCCGGGGCTCATCTTCACCGGCATTGGCATGTTAACTGTAACCTCCTTTAGCTTCAGGAACAGCAGTAACTTTGTCCTCTCCGGATCTTGCCACACTCCTGGCGGATTCGCCAGGATCCGGTAGTTCACACATTCCACCAAGCACGCGCGCTGCCAACGACCCTGGCAGCTCAGATAACCGATTCCTGTCGGAGCCAAGATCAGACTCAAACACAGCTTCTCCTGGCGAGAGACGCGGTATGCCGTCTAATTCACCTCCTAAGTCGAGGGCCAGGAGGGGGGCTGGTTTTGTCCAGCTCGGGTAGTCCAGACCCGCGATATGCTCAGACGACGGCTGGGGCTACTTCTTGTTGCGGCTCTGTCGACGAAAGACGAATATATATACATATATATATCGCTAAACCAAGAACTAGGAGCATCAGAGACACGCCGATCGCTATAGCTGCTTTGATCCCGCTGGTCATGTTAGAGCCTTCGGTGTGGCTGTCTTGGAGGGCGATGGACGTTGAACCATCGGTTGGCGTTATACTTGCAGTCGTATAGTGGACATCATGGAAATGGACGAGGACAATTTGCGGCGCGAAAACCCCTGTCTGCGTCCCGATCGACACTGTTATTGCACTGATTAGCTCAGATGTAGTCTTTCATCACAAACGTCCATGTCCATGTCTGCCGTTACCGTTTCACCCGCCGGTAGGCTCGAGGCGCACGAATACGGCAAATCGCAGAAAAAGCCACTTCCGTATATTAGCTGCCGTAATCCCCCACAATTTAGTACCAATTCACGTCGGACAACAACCAACCGCCATCTCTCCCTCCTGCACGGCACTTCCCTTCGTCACTGACGGCTTCCTGGACACGGTATCTGTCTCTGTTGCCGTCGCCCCGGCCTCGTTATTTGCCATGACACAACTCAACGCGTGGCCCTCGGAACACACCAGGCCTGGTGAATCAACGGGATACGCAATTTTAGGGGCCCCGTGATGTTCAATGGTCTTGTATGCCGTTGCCCATCTCGCCGGGAAGCAGGACGACTTGACTCGCTGAAGGATGCCGGAGCATGTACATCCGCGCTCCCATGCTAGGATGATGGTTGGTTGCTAGTATTCTTGTTATCAAGGCCGTAGACCCCGAGAACCAAAGAGACGTAGTCTGGAGGAGGAGTAAAAGTTAGTATCAAGGGGCCGAGATTAGTAGTTAAAGCGGGTAGGTCATGGGATTTGGTTGATTTCGAAGCTGGCAACGGACATGGCGAGGGTTGAGTCGGGTTCTTATCTTGATTACTGGGCTATAGGGAGTATGGGAAGAAAGAAACGATCCTCCGTATGGCTGGGGAAATTCCGGAGTTATTGCATGGCTGGGCCTGGCCTAGTCTTGGTCGCGTAACTTGACTTGATAATGTAGCCAACAAGAAATGGCACATGTCTCGGTAACAGCCCCAATTCAATGAAGGGGACGCTGGTTCACTTTACAGAGTTGGGCTCTATCGCAGCGCACATAAACTGGGTGAACAGCAACACGCACCAGAAGAGAGCCAACATGAGGGTATCGTCACTTTTGGGGCCGGTGTAGAATGAAGACTTGTTCTGTATGAAGAGTGTATACCCTGGGGGTTGGCAGAGAAGTAGGTCAATGAGTACCGCGATTATAATCACCCATCTATTGACTACTATTAGCCGTTGTAGTTCCGCTCCAGTGCCGTACTATTCTTGCTTTATTAGAAGTCCCGGTATTGCAGTGGAAGGGGAGCAGCTTACTGTCTGCTAGAGGGGCTTGATAGTAATCTGGCAACTCTTTGGAACTGGCTGTACAGGGTAGCCGCTTGCGGGCCACCTTTGGAACCTTTGACGCCCCCAATGTTCAAAGTGCTATTTGAGATGTAGCCCGCCATCTAACTAGCCCCTGGTCAAGGCAACTGCCCAGGTACCCGGTAAAGATTTTCATTTTGTCGAGGTAATTGGGTGCGATCAGGATGCAAAAAGCCACAATGTTAAGGATACATGGCCCGAGTGTTTCTCGTGAGCTAGTGGTCAAAGCGGTTTGTGCAGCGGCAGGCAAACAACCTTGAAATATTGGAACATTGCAGGGCTCTCGGCCGGCCGCGGGA